CTGACGCCCCCTCTCCTCCCTGGGACGGGGCTAAGATTAGGATACATCCGTTTCAAGACATTTCGGGCCGCGGAGCTCGAGACATTTCCTCCAGAAAAGCAGGATCTCAGAGGCCCCCGATTCACGCCCCCTTGAATTTATCCTCGTCGAGGCTTCGCCTTTTATCCCCTCTCCTCCATCGTTTCCTCCCCGGCAGCAAGCCAGGTCATCGACAGACGCTTCGTCCTCCCAGCTCCCCTGACCCGGCCCGGAAGGGGACGGCTGCGCCGAGGCCCTATACGCGCCCCCGCGGCCTGCTCTCCTGCAGAGTGTGAGCAGGCTCCCACACGGCGGTCACCCCTCAGGGTTGCCCTTGACCTGCTACGGCGGGCGGGTGCCCCGGCCCCCAGACCAGAAGCCTCCGCCCACGGCACTACGACCCGCCGCCGGTGGTGTCCCGCCCGCACCTCTGCCTCAGGTGCCTCGGATGCGGCAACCAGTGGCTGCTACCCGGCGTCAAGCCTCGGCCCGATTTCGCCAGCATGCCACGCAGGCGTTGCCACGCTGCCCCGGGAATTTCGACATGCTTTTTTTCCCAGCCCTGATACCCTCAGCCCTCAGATTCCACCGCCTGCCTCTGGCACCTCCTGACCTTGGCGGGACCACTCAACAGCTGTGACTAGACGAGCGCGATCCACCACTCGCCAAAAAACTACTCGCAAATGGCCTGGATCTGCCGCGTGGGATCTACGATACACTCTATCGAAACAAGCAAACCTGTTTCGGACGTTTGCGAGTAGGCACTTTGCGAGTCGTGGAACGCGCTCGGTGAGTGACGAGAACCTCGGGCCCGGCGTGCAGCGCGACCTCCACCTGCCGACGCCTCAGCATCGATCGGCAGCGGGGCTGCGGGCCAGGCTAGCCCCCAGGACGACGCACAGGCCGATGGCCCTCCCTCACCGGAAGACGGCGGCGACAAGTGGGCCCGCGGAGCCGCTCGCAGCAGGGCGAGCCTCCTCCTCCTCCTCCTCCTCCTCCTCCTCCTCTTCCTCCTCCTCCTCCTCCTCCTTCTCCTCCTCCTCCTCCTCCTCCTCCTCCTTCCTCCTCCTCCTCCTTCTCCTCCTCCTCCTCCTCCTCCTCCCTCCCTCTTCAGCTTCGATGGCGACAAGTGGATCCGCTCTGACAACGACCCCTCGTGCTCCACGCGGGCCCTATACGATGGTGCCACTGAGCCTTTGGTTGGCCACGCCACGCCTTGAAGGCCGCACGGCCCGCCCCCGACAGGTGACCCCACCCCTGGTCAGACAATTCCACGGGGCCCTGCTGGATGCCTACCACGAATGGCGCGACCAGCGGCAGCATCGCGAGCCTTGGACCCGCCCTGCCCCTCCAGCTTTTTTCTGATGCCTTTGGGGCCTCCCAGCACCGCCGGGGGGGGGGGGCCGACCCAGGTGCCCCGAGCGCGGACCTGCCCACTTCTCGGCGCCCGCGGGCTTCGGCAACCCGTTCGCCATCGCCGTTTGCGTCGCGGCAGCTGCCTCGGCGGCGGACCCCGCCCGCGGCCTCCCTGAGCGGGCGCGCCCTCTTTTTTTTCTCTCGCGGCCGCTGCCGGACCTGCAGCCGATGCCTCTCACTTCGGCCGTGGCGCCCGCAGCGAGGCTGCCTGGCCCTTGCCCACCACGCGCGGCTCGGCGTTGTCCGCCCTGTCCCCCCCGGCCAGCGGCTCGCGAGAGACGGCCTCGCCGAGAGGATCGTCGGCCGTGGGCCCCGACGTGCCGCCCGGCCCTGGCGCGTCGCCCTGCCCCCTGCACCCTCGCCGCGCGCCCCCATCGGCGCGACGACCTGCGGCGGCCCGGTCGCTCGCCCTCCTCGCCGAGCGATCGGCCCGGGCGCCCTGCCAAGCGCAAACCGCATGACTCGGGCCTCGGCACGCCGCCGCGCCCCAGTGCGTCCTTTGGTCCTCCCGCGCCTCAGGCCTCCCGGTGGCGCCGCCCCACAGGCGGGGCCGCTTCCCCCGCCGGCGCTCCTCGCCCCGCCCCCGCCCACCGCCCCGCCGTTGGTTCGCTGGAGCCCACCCCGGGCTCGCGGCCAGCCGCCCCTGCCCTCCTGCCCCGCAGCTTTGACGGGCCTGTCCCCGGGCAGTTCGGCCGGCCCTTGATCGAAGGCCTCCCGCCCCAGACGACCTGCCTGCCCGCGCGCCCGCTTGGCGACTGGGCCTATATCCGATAGACTCTATCCTGCTGCTGCCTGCCGGCAGCTGCAGGCAATGCCTTCTTTGGCGCGCGATCCCCGCCAGCTGGCGCTGGTCGTGCTGGTGGCGCCCGAGCTCGCAGCAGCTGCTGCTGCCCCGGCCGCCCCCCCCCCCCCCCCCCCCCCCCCCGGCGCGCGCCTGACGGCCCCGCCCAAGGTGGCGCGCCCCGCCCCGCTGCAGCCCGTTGGGCCGCCGCTGCTCCCCAGTGCCCCGCGCGCCCGTCTGGCGTTCGTTGGACCTGCTCTCCCGCGGCCCGCCGCTGGGCGCCCCCTGCCCCGCCGCTGGGCGCCGCCGCGCCCGCTGCCCTCCTTGCCTCGCCGCTGTCTTGCGAGGCCTGGCCCCCTTGCGTTGCGCATAGCTGGCGCGCGCGCGCCCGCGGACCTGCTGCTCGGCCAGCGGCGCGGCCCGGCCCGCGAACGTTCAAAAGCGCGCGCACGAGCGCGCGCGCGCGCGTGTTTTTGTGCGCGCGGTGGAGGAGGGTCAAGCAGATCCTTCGGGCTCGCCTTCTGAGGGCCGATATTCTTGGCCCAGGGCCCGAGGGCCTCTCGCTGGCCCCCGCGGTTTCCTGAATGACCCCTCGCAACCTCTCGAACAGATCAACCTTCAAATTCCTGGGACAAGCCTTAGAAACGCACTTTTCGTTCTGCTTGTCAATTTAAGCTCCATCTTGCCCGTCTTTGCACGGGCGCGGTCGCCTCGCTCTTTTTTCCTGCAGCGGCGAGACTGAGGTCGCACATCTCTCTTCAGCGCGCGGTGTTCTGGAAAACCGCGCGCCCCGCCCGCGCGCGCTCCATCTCCTTGCTGTTCATGTCGGCTGGGTTCCAATCTCCTGCGACCCATCGAAAGTGCTCGCTCTCGTCGCAGACATTATCCTTGATGGCGCTGGCTCCCGTGGTGCCCCAGTCGTTGCTGAGGTTGAAGGTCGGGCCCTCGCTGTTCCCGACGGCTTCGAAGAAGCCCTCGCTGTCCGTTGCCAGGGTCACTGCAGTGCTGTCCGCGCACTCCTTCAGAAATATCGCAGTGCGACCGATCCGCTCCACGCTGCAGGCCGAGTCCGTTCATGTCGGCCCACGCGTCGCACTCGATGCGAGGCGTTGTCGGCCGCGGTCACGGCCGTGGCGTTGGGCGTGATCCTTCGTCTCCAACTCCCAGCTCTTGCTCGACGCGTTGTCGATGGTCTCGACCTTTCCGCTGGTCGAAGGTTCGGCTTCTCCGGGCCATATGCTGGCGCGAGATGGTGCCCCCGTCGCGGGCCTCCGAAATATCCGCGTCGACGTAGACGCGCGGCCCAGACAGTGGGATTCCTGCCCGCGCTTGCAGCTCGGGCGCGGTCTGAATCAAGAACCATCGTAGTTGCCCCGCGAGGCGCCGCACTTCCTGCTCGTGGTCTTCTGCCACGCGAGTTCCAGGCGGCCGTGGCCTACCTCGACGTCGGCCGCCCACTCGACGCGAGATGCCCAGTCCATCCGCAGCGCATGCATTCCTGCAAATGATGGCCCCACTCTTGCAGCATGCCGCAAGCGCGCGTCTTTGCGATGCTAGCTCGCGCCCTCATCCTTCGCCGATGGCCGCGGCCGCCCCAGACGTCAGGGTCGTCGATGCGCGAGCGAGCCTGTCCGGCGGGAAAATGGGTGCCATCCTGCGGCTCGGCGAAAGTAAAGCTACGCGCGTCCACTCGCTAGGTCGTCTCCGTCTTCGGCGCGCAGGGCGGATGTCTTCGCGCCGAAATCTGGAACGTCCCCGGCGCCGGCGCGCATCCGCAATCTGCCTCCAGGATCCCCAGTGCGTCGCCGCATGGGGATGCTCGTGGCCGCCGACGGCGCCGAAGCGCCGGTCGCTTGTGGCCCGTCGCTCTCTCGTCGCCCTCATCTGTCTGAAGCATGGCCGTCGTAACATCTCCCGTCTCCGATGCGCGCGTCCTCGCGGTGGCGCGCCGTTGCGCGATCACATCGGCGGCGCGCCGCCGCTGGGCCGGGCCCGACATCATCTGGGAGAGCGTGCCCGGGCGCGGGTGTTCGAGGCCGATCAGCACGACGCGAGCCTTCGCATTCCTTGCGCAGTCCTTGTTGAAGACCGTTGCGAGGTCGGCCTCCAGCTGCTCGCCGCGCATCTCTGGGGCCTCGGCCGTCACTTCGGCCAGCGTTTTCCTTCGCGCCATAAGCCGCCGGGCGCGCGCGATCCTTCCTGAACTCCATGCATCATTCTGTTCGGCCGCGCCATAACTTCTCCGAGCTGCCTCTCGTTGCGCCCGCTCCGCAAGCTCCGTCGCCATGGCCTCGTCGACGAGGGCCTGGTCGTCTGTTCCAATATTTGCGCTTGCGCCCCGCATCTGGTCATCGGGCGAAAGCCTGCTCTTACCCTGCAGCCGGCCTCGCGCTGACGACCGGGCACCTCGGCAGCTGGCCGCCGACGATCGCCCAGGCGAGCTCCCCCCTGGGACCCTGGGGCGCGCGTCGCGGATGCGCGCCCACTGTGCCCGCTCGTCCTGTGCCGAATCGACGCGGTCGCCGGCGGCTTGGGCGAGGCCTCCTCATCCAGGTGCAAGTCCAATCGACCGCGTTGTGGACGCGGTAAATCTGCCTTACGGCTCAGTCCGCCAGGTTGCTGATCCGCGCCGTAACCCCAGACTTCCCGGCGCAGATGGCTGCGCTCAGCGGCGGGTTTGGGTTCCAGTTGCTCGTGGTCCGTCGTCTCGCTTGCCCTGGCTCCGTGGTGTGGCGCTGGGAGAGCCCCCGCCGAGTCTCTCCTGGGGCCTCCAGCTTCGCGGCCC